GGCCTCAGCTCAAGCTGACAAAGGGGTGACATCAGTCCCTCGGAGCGTCATTTGTAGTTCAAAATAGCTGGTTCCCTGTATCTAAAGGCCTGACCTTTCCTTGATAGATAAGGTGTCATTACGTCATCTGGGTTACGATCTGTGTAAAGGAACTCATATCGTGTTTGAGATCTGTGCAATCCCATGTGTCGCCTGGGCAGAAAGTGTGAACCATGAGGAAATAGTGCACACATCTTTACAAATCCCCAGGTTTAACTTATATCTGACAAATGAACCCTATTTGAGCATTATGGGGATGGATTCTCAGGCTCTCAGAGTGAGGCAAGCTGAGCCACTCAGTGGTGCTGAAGTCCCTAACTGAGATATTCTTGGTAGAAGTTAGAGTAGCACGTGTGCTGGTGTGAAACCTAGCAGTACACTTTTGTAGGTGGACTGAAACTTGGACTCAGAGGTGTCTTTTTTTTTTATTTTTTTTAATTTTTTCTATTTTTTTTTAAGATTTTATTTATTTATTTATTTGACAGAGAGAGATCACAAGTAGATGGAGAGGCAGGCAGAGAGAGAGAGAGAGAGAGGGAAGCAGGTTCCCTGCTGAGCAGAGAACCCGATGCGGGACTCGATCCCAGGACCCCGAGATCATGACCTGAGCCGAAGGCAGCGGCTTAACCCACTGAGCCACCCAGGCGCCCCTCAGAGGTGTCTTTTATTTGATGGGTTTTAATGCCAGGACAATCTTGCTGTGAGGTAGACAAGGGAATACAAAATGTTGGGGGGGGGACATATAGCATTGGGCAGAAAGGAATTTGAGGGTACATTCATTACAGTCGATCTGAACACCCCATCCCTATGTTTCATGGAATGGCCAGAAGCAGCTCTTTTTCGTGAAGCTCTGTGAGAACCTTAAAGTGGGAACAACTGCATTTTTGAAAAGCTCTGAAAAGAAAGCCGTGGGGGCAACTGGTCTGCTCAGTCAGTAAAGCATGAGATTCTTGATCACTGGGTTGAGAGTTCAAGCCCCATGCTGGGTTTGGAGCCTACTTCAAAAAACAGTAACAACAACAACAACAACAACAGATCACCATGAATAAGATAAGCAGGCAGAGGCTATAGCATGCTTGATATATATAACTCTAAATGCTCTAGGTAGAAGAACAAAATAACCTGACTTTTGTTACTCCAGTGGAATCACAGGCTCTCACCCACTTTCCAGAACTAGAGTCCTTCGATGGATGGGGTGCTGGGTGCCCTGGATAGCACCCTGCACCATCGGTGTAAGTGGAAACCACAAAGGGACCTGCAGGCATTTACTCAAGTGACAGATTGTCCTGGAGATCAGGTGTGCTTGAGCAGGATCCCCTTCTTGGCAGAGGCCACACCTATCAAGTGACACGGGAAAGACTTTGTTAGTTTTCTCCTGACCCCACCTCCAAAAGTGTGGACACTTATGGCAGTTACTGAGATTGCTGGTAACTCAAGCACTAATTCTGCTCACCTTTCGGGATACTATTGTTGTGGGGGCGGGCGCTTTATTGCGAACCATTTCAGAGGCACACACTCCGGGCGCCGGCCCGCAGTGGGAGGGGAAGAGATTGTGTAATATGAGCCCTGGGAGGGTGGAAGCGCCCAGAAGCGCACAGGAAGGCCGCTCTCAGAGCCCAGGACTGGGGCGCAGCCAGAGAAGGAATGACCTGTCGTGCTACTTTGCCATCTTGGGTGGACTCGCAGTCCTCCCAGTCCAAGTCAAGCTTGGGAGCCGACTGTCTCTTTTCTCTGCCGGGTCAGGGTGGGCGGGGCTGGAGCTAAGGCTCACACAGGGTCTCTCGGGCCCCGGATCACGGGGGAGGCTTCTCCCTGGCTCTTCTCTCGCGAGAGGGCGCAGCCCCGCCCCGTGTCTCCATTGACCGGAGGCTGTGCGAGAGGTTCCCAGCAACGCCAGGTCCGGACTCTTCGGTTAGGGCGGGGGAGACGTGGGCGGGGTAAGCCAGCCACTCCGCCGACAAAGGAACGTGGACCGAGACTCCAGCATGGCGTGTGCCCTGGAGTCCTGGAGCCCAGAGGGAGGCTCGGAGGCCGGGTCTCAGCCTCGTGACCTCCAGGAACACGCACGCAGCCGCCGTAAGCCCCACTCTAGGGTACTTTCCTTCTTTCAATTCCAGGAATATATGTCTTTTGTAGTGATGGCAAAGCCTCGGCGGGAGTTCTACACCCAAGATGGCCAGCCGGAAGCAAGTTTCTCGTGCCGATGTGGCGACGCCAGATTGGCCAAGCGGCCGCCCGTATGCTAACACCCTGCTGTGTCCCGTTCTGCGCGTGTGCGGAAGCCACGCCTGCACGCAGGCGCAGAACGGTGCTGCGTCTATGGTCTAGGAAGTGTGACAGAGCGTCCATCCTCCCTGGCCAGGACTCTATGGTACCTACGCGTGAAGATAGTCCGCCTATATAAGGCATACGCAGGCGTGGGAGCGCCTCTTTTCCTTCGGCGCGGTGAGTAGTAGAGGTTCTAGGGTAGTGCGTTGCCCTGCTGATTCTCTGGCCTAGTTTGAGGCCTGCCATCGTCTTCTGTCCGACTTTATCTGTTTCGTTGCAGCCACTGAAGATCCTGGTGTCGCCATGGGCCGCCGTCCCGCCCGGTGGTGAGTCCTGGATCCGTGAAATTTAGCAGATGTGAAAAAGGAGGGAGATCCGTATTTCGCCTCTAAAACCAACCGTGGGGTGGGGCCTCTAGTGCACCTTTCCTGTACTGGGAACAGACTCTACGTTTTTCCCAATACCTTCCGGGTCGCTTGGGGTGTTTGGTTATACTGTTTCTTTTAAAAGTTGATGTTGCTCTTTAGCGCGGCTTCTGTTTTGTTCGGGGTGGCAGGTTTACTACCCTGGACTACATCCGTTCCACCACTTTTCGGGCTGGGAGTGACGTCCGCCTTTCTTCCCTCCTGTCTTGGAAATTCGCCACGTTTTTGGCCTCAATACCCTTTCAGGGCCTTTGTGTACCATCCCAGTCTTATTTCCGGGCGACATGCCCGTGCCTTTTCGGACGCCTAGGGCCGCCCCAAAATGCGGGCTCAGCCGCCTCGTGTGCCCTGCAGGGGGCGTCAGGATCTCTTCACACGTGGTTTGGAGGCGGATTTAGTGCCACGTGCCCAAAAGTCGGTGGACGGCATGAACTGAATTACTAATCAGCGAGTTGGCAGTGCCTTGAAGTGAGACATACTTTTTTTTTTAACTGAAAAAGCCCTTTTGGACATGTTGACTTTATGCGAAGTATGAAACCATAATAAGGGATCAAGCGAGATTGTTTTGCTTTTATGTTCTTAGCATGGGTGTTTTCTAACATCTCACCACCTTACTTTGACCATATCTTGCTTAAAACCACCAGGGATGGAGACAGCTGGAGATTGACACATTGTTGTCCTCTCCATTCCCAGTCCTCCTTTCGTCTTAGTTTAAGGGAGCCCCCCAGAGTATTGTTGGGTTCAGTTGTGAACTGTAAACTTGGGTTCCCCCCCTCCCCGCAGTTACCGGTATTGCAAGAACAAGCCGTATCCAAAATCTCGCTTCTGCAGAGGTGTCCCTGGTAAGTAGTGGGAGAGCTCCCAAACTAAATTGGTTTGGCTCCACTGACTCAGGTGCCTATGGCACCCACTCCCACACACTTAACAAGTTCTTTTCAGATGCCAAGATTCGCATCTTTGACCTGGGGCGGAAGAAGGCAAAAGTAGATGAGTTCCCACTATGCGGCCACATGGTGTCCGATGAATACGAGCAGCTCTCCTCTGAAGGTGAGGCAGGGTGCCTTCCTAATCACTCTGTGCGTTCTGACTGCCGGGGCTTTATCAGTTAGTCATGAGTATCCAATGGGCAGTCTTTGTCAACATGGCCGCTACAGATGTGCTGTGAGAGCCAGGGAGGGTTACGGTAACTGCTTCAGGGCTGTCCTGTCTCACTGTGCTGCCCCCCCCCCCCCCCCCATCGCCAACCTAGCCCTGGAGGCTGCCCGTATTTGTGCCAACAAATACATGGTGAAAAGCTGTGGCAAAGATGGTTTTCACATCCGAGTGCGGCTCCATCCCTTCCATGTCATCCGCATCAACAAGATGTTGTCCTGTGCTGGAGCGGACAGGTGAGCTGGGTCCTGGGTCTCTGCCTTTTCAGGTGTTTTGCCATAGTTGAGGCCCTTGTTTGGCTTGATTTTTTTTCTTAATCAGAGTAAATAAATGGGCCTCACACAACCAAACTCAACCACCTGTAATAAAACCAGGTTACATGTTACCGGGTGCATTTTAATGGACTATTTTCCCCTCCTACCACTGCACAGAATTGACTTGAGGGAACGAGCGTAAGAGACATGGTGACTCAGACTTCACCTCTTGGTGACTGACTGGTGGAGGGAGGTGCTTCTGAGGGAGCAGCGTTAATCCTGCTGACAGCCGTCTGCCAGCAGCAGGTAGCTGAAGCAGTCACAGTTCAGGCTTTCGGGTGAGCCCAGTGCCACCTCATAGGTACTGGCTAGTCAGTTTTGGGGTTTTCTGTTCTCTGCAGCCAATTAAGCCGACTGTGCTCTTTGTCTGTGGGGGCCCA